TTGTCTGGGGTTGAGATGGGGCAGAACCACATTCCATCAGTGCATCACAGGCCACTCTCAGAGGCAGGTCTACATCCTCTGAGGGTACAGGGAGTCATCCTGGCACTTGGAGGATTTGGGTGCAGACCATCCCTGCGGGTGGAGGATGGATTGGTGGTAGCAAGAGAGGGGCAGCAGCTGTCAGGGGAGGGATGTGACTGTGGATCATTGACTCAACTCCCCAACTGAGGAAACAGGGGTTCACACAGGTCAGGTGACTGCCCAAGGCCACCAGCAGGCTCAGGGATCTGGATCTGAGTTCTCACACTTGAGGAGTCCCCACACCAAAGCTTTACTCACCTCCCTGAGCTGCCTTCCAGGCCCCCAAGTCATACCTGTGAACACCTGATGAGTGCTTAATACAGGCCAGGTCTGAGTGCCTGACAGGCATGAGTTCATCTAATCCTCCCAACAACTCTAGGAGGTAAATACTCTCATATTAGTATTCCTCCCTTCTACAGATGAGGAAACTGAGACAGAGAACTCAAGTAACTTGCCCAAGGTCACACAGCTGCTAAGTGGCAGGGTCAGGATTAAAACAAGGCAGTTGCAGCCTAGGCGGTTGGGGCTTTTATGCCCCTTGCAATGTGTGGGATGGGAGTTTGCAGGAGGGGACACATGGGCAGGAAGTGGCCTATGGAAGTGTGGAGCACCAGGAAGTCCCCAGAGATGAATAATGTGTGTGCATGCTGTGTGACCTCAGGCCACTCGCAACCCCTCTCTTGGCCTCAGGTTTTCTCATCTGAGACAAGAACCCAAAATCTCCAGGTTCTCTTCTCTCTCCCCATCTGTTCCTCTCATTCCTTAGGTCAACCCCTCCATTCCTACCCTCAACATACACACCCAGAGACTAAGGCAGGGGAGGTGCTGGAGATCGGAGTGGGGTATGGAATGGAGGGGAGAGGAGAATGTGGGGACTAACCCTTCCCCAAAAACCTAGTCAATTGCAGGAATACCTCTGGGGCATCACCTTGGATTTGGGGGGCAGTGAGTCCTACCAATCTTGTCTCCCAGGGCCTGCAGGGACCGGGCTCCCCCCAGCACTCTGCAGAGAACCCAGGGCTTGTTTAGAAAGTGTCTCCATTGGAGCCTGAGTCACCAGATCCCTGGGTGGTCTAGGGGAAACCACAAAGTTACTGCGAAGCAACAAGACTAGGAGAGGAGGGAGAACGGCAGGTCCTGCCACCGCTGAACTCAGCAGCTAGGCCAACTCCCAGAACTCGGTTTCCCCTTTTGTAAACTGAGGGGTTGGAACTGGACTCTCAGACCCCCGAGAAGGCGGCCACAGGGCCTCTCCCTGACACTTGAGGCCATCCGAGGACCTCAGGGAAGTCCTCAGCTTCGGAACAGGAGATAGCTTCAAGGTTGAGATCCCTGGGTCCCCAGAATTCAGTCTTTCAGGAGGGCATATTGTCCCCCAAGAGACAAGCCCACTCCAGCAAAGCCAATCACAACCAGGGCATGGGGAGAGCGCCAGACTGTCATCTGAGACAGGGGCTTGTTCCTTCCTCCAGGGAGCTTGGACAAATGATCATTAATGTAAGCATCGGCTTCTTTATCTGCAAGGACTCCCAGGGAGTGAGTGAGTGTCACCAGTCATCACTCCAAGCATATCCTCACAGAGCAGCCTGCTATGAGCCTGCAGAGTTCAGACAGAAGGGCCAAGGCCTGAGCAGTGCGGGGAAACAGAATGGGTAGGGAGCCATGGGGACTTCCACGTTCAGTTCGGGCCTCGGGTTTGCAATGGGAAGGGGTGTAGGAGTTTGGGTTGGCAGCAGAACCAGGAGAGTTTTCCTTGAAGGCCAGGGTGGGGCCAGTGAGGCTTAGCTCTAAGAAGCAAATGTCAGCCAGGCACGGTGGCTCAGGCCTGTAATCCCAGCACTTTGGGAGGCAGAGGCGGGCGGATCACCTGAGGTCGGGAGTTTGAGACCCGCCTGGTTAACATGGTGAAACCCCGTCTCTACTAAAAATACAAAAATTAGCCAGGCGTGGTGGTGGGCACCTGTAATCCCAGCTACTCAGCAGGCTGAGGCAGGAGAATTGCATGAACCCGGGAGGCGGAGGTTGCAGTGAGCCAAGATCACACCACTGCACTCCAGCCTGGGCGACAGCGTGAATCCGTCTCAAAAAAAAAAAAAAAAAAAAAAAGTCATCTGCCTGGCTGGTCGCCCTCTGAGAATCTGGGAGACGGAGAGGATGACAACTTTCTATATGCATGCAATAGTCCCCAGGGTAGGGGGCAGGAAACCTGGGTCACACTCCAGCATTCCTTGACTACAGGCTTGAGATGAGCACCTCCGTGCTCCAGGTCTGGTTCTTCACCAATAAAATGGGGCTGTCAATCTGTGATGATGGCAGATTATAATGATCACTTCCACATCCAGGCATTGCAGGGTGACTGGCTGCTTCCTCTAATGGCAAGAAGCTCCTCTCAGGAGACTGGCATTGGTGGGCACCAGGCTCAAGGGGAGCCAGGATGGGTTCAGGGCTCAGAGGACCTTGCAATGATCCTTAAGCTGCCCAGATCTGCTCATCTCCCTGGCCCACTGAGAAGCAGCCCACCTTCCCCCCTGCCCCCTGAAGATCACCCCAGCTCCTCATCTTGGTGTGTGAGGGCCGCCCAGCCCTTTCCAGCCCTGGCTCTGTGTGAATAATGGCAGCTGTGTCCTGGTGACAGACCAGGTACTCTGTGGCGTGCTTCACTCTCCCAATTCGTACCTACTTCTGAGGTAGGGGCAATCTTATTCCCATCTGTAAGATGGGAACACCAAAGCATGTTAAGAAGTTATTAAGTCACTGAAGTCACTCTGAGTGGCAGAACTGGGATTTGAACTCGAGCAGCCCGGCTCCAGAGCACGAGTGTCTGGAAACTCCCCTCCTGCTTCCTGGTCTCTGCCATCCCCAAACTCTTTGCTCCTGCACCCTCTGCCACCCTTAGCCTGCCAGCTTCCCGCTCATTTGTCCTGTGAGGACCAGAGGTCAAGGCACTGAGCCTCTTAGGGGGCCTCCCGATTCCTCCTTCTCGGCACTCGCATGGAAGTGGTTGCTTATTCCTTTTGGACGTGCACCCACAAACTGCCTGTGAGCCTGTGGTGCCTCCCGTCCTGCCCCCACACCAAGAGCCCTCTGAATACTCCAGTGTGACAGCCATCTCTGCTGAGTGTCTTCAGGTCAGGGCCTCAGTGCAGAGCACCCTGGCGTGAACAGCTGTGGTCAGCCCAGAAGCACCGGCATGCCTCAGTATGGGGACATTATTACAGGGGTGGGGACAGTCTATTCGTAAATAACTTTGGGAAACAAAGTTAAAAGGTTTTTCTTCTTGGAGGATGTGGTGGCCATGATTCCTGTCTCCTGGTATTCATGTCCTTGTGTAGTCCCTCCCACATTGTAACAGAGATGGTTTGTATGACAAATAAGTATGGCAGAAGCGATGGTATGTCACTTCTGAGATCTAGTTACAGAAGACAGCAGCTTAGGTTGGGCATGGTGGCTCACATTTATAACCGCAACACTTTGTGGGGCCGAAGTGGGAGGATCATTTGAGCTCAGGATTTCAAGACCAGCCTAGGCAACATGGTGAAATCCCATCTCTACCAAAAGTACAAAAATTAGCCAGACATGATGGTGTGCACCTGTAGTCCTAGCTACTCAGGAGGCTGATGTGGGAGGATCACCTGAGCCCAGGAAGTTTGAGGTTGCAGCGAGTCATGATGGGACACCTGCATTCCAGCCTGGCTGACAGAGTAAGACCCTGTCTCAAAAAAAAAACCAAAAAACAAAAAACAAAACAAAACAAAAAAATCCAGCAGCTTCACCCTTGCTGTTCTGGATCACTTGCTCTGGGGAAGCCATCTTGCAAGTAGCCCAGTGGAGATGCCCACGTGGCAGGGAACTGAGGGCTCCTGCCAGCAGCTAAGTGAGTGAGCTTGGAGCAGGTCCCCCAGACCCAGTCAAGACTCAGATGACTACAGCCCTGGCTGACAGCTTGATGGCAACCTCACCAGAGACCCCGAGCCAGAACCACTTGGCTAAGCTGCTCCCAGATTCCTGACCTACAGAAACTGTGGGAGATAATAAATGTTAGTTATTTTAAGCTGCTAAGTTTGGGGATAATTTATTATGCAGCAAGACATAATACACAGGACTTCTCAGAGCACTTAATATGTTAATATAAATCTCCAAGAAAAAAGATATACAATGCAACATTCCTCTTAGTTATCTGGCCAAGGAAACTTTCTTTTTTTGAGAATATTCTTCAGAAAGCTGATCTAATGATATGGCTCTGGTCCTACAATTCCATGTAACTTCTAACCTTGATTTTGTCTCATGAGCAAATCATTTATCCTTCCAGAACCTCAACTTTTCCCTTTTACAAAGTAGAAATAAACCATCTGCCTTTACATAAATCATTAATACAGCCCTGGATGGGCAGATTCTGAGCTATTTTTGGCTGGGGGGTGGGAAATAGCCTGTCGAGCTCCTAAAAGGATCTACTCACCATGGGGCTTCAGATGGTTCTGCAAGGTAGCAGGTGGGCTTAAGGCCCATTTCAGTCTTTGTTCCCCAGGCCATTTCCATAAAATGGTGAGAAATAGTGTCTTCTTTTAGCTTGCTCATAGCTCAAAGATGGGAGGCATAGACCTGGGCCCTTCTAGGCTAGGGCATGAACCTCCTCCATGAGACTGGAAAAGCTTGTTCAGGATAAATGGCCAGTATATTTTCCCTTTCCTCACCGCCATCCCTATCCAATGGACACACCATAGCCATGGGCAGGAAGGAACAACAGAACCTTCTCTGGTTTACTTAAGAGTAAATGTGACTTTCCTCCCTTTTCAATCCGTTCTATCTTTATCCAATAAAACATGAAAACTCAAGTCAAGTTTCAGGGTACACGATGGGTCAGAAATCCGCTGAAGCCTTACCTGCCCCTCTTCGTAAAAAGAAGACAGTTTAAAAAAAACTATAATGCGAATACTTTATTATCGAGTGACTGGTATTAGCTTTTTGACTGGGCTTTAATATCTCAAAAACCATACACCAAACCCAGGCTTTTCCACCTAGCTCTGCTGTATCATTTTCTTTATATATATATATATATATAAAAAAGTAAAGAAGAGGAAGGAGGAAGAGAAAGAAAATATATCTGTATTGAAAGAATTATAAGCCAAAGTGCGTCTTTCTTGTTTTGTCCATATACACACATTGCACCATACATAAATAATTACATTGTAAAAAGACTCCATAATTACAAGTATAATATATATTTCCATATAATATATAAAACTTTATATTAAATCTAGGTAGATGATATCTGGGGGATTTTGTCCGTGGGGGCTGTGTCTCTGGGCATCGGCCCCTCTTGAGGCCGGCAGGTGGCGGCGGCCGCGGCCTCCCACCCACCCCTCCGCCGGGCCCGCCACTATCTGGGGTTGTTGAGGAGGATCTCCAGCCAGCAGGGGCAGGAGGTGATGAACTGCCGGGAGTAGCAGGGCCCCCAGCCCTTGGCGAAGCTGATGCGGACGCTGTTGGGATCGTAGGGGCCGTCGGCGGCGTCGGGCTCGGGCGCATGCTGCAGCCCCGAGCGCTCGAAGTCGAACACCTTGATGGAGTAGCCGGGCGGCACCTTGCGCACGACCAGGGCGCGGCCGCCGGGCGCGTCCAGCGTCGGGGAGTTGACGAAGATGGGGTGCTCGCCGCGGTTGTAGGCCCACACGCCGTCGGGCTCCTTGCTGAGCAGGATGCCGAAGCCGATCTTGCTGCGCGTTCGCCGCACCGACTCGCTGCGCTGCTCCAGGTTGAGCTGGCCCAGGCAGAAGCCGCTGCCCTGAGGTAGGTCGTAGAAGATGCTGACGGCCTGGTCGTACACCGCGTAGAGGCGGCCCACGCGCGTCCGGTGCTCCCAGTACGCCACGCTGCACCAGTGGCTCGGCTTGGTGGCGTCCGGAGACATGCTGGCGTCTGCGGGACAAGCACAGGGACCGCCGCGTTATTCGGGGTGGGGAGGTGGGAGGCACTGGGGAGGGGAGGTGGGCTCTGCTGTCTGCACAGTGGGAGCTGGGTAAGGTTTCCAGCATTCAGCAGTCATGTGGGCACACTGTGTGCCAGGTTGTCCTCAGGAAATATAGCACACAACAGGACATCTCTTTCACACACACACACACTCACACAAAGGAGAAAACAGAGGTTATGAGCCACAGAGTGCAAGCCAGAGAGCACCTGTTGTGTGCTAGGTGCTGTGGAAGCACAGACATGAACCCTGCATACCCGGCCCCTGCCTCTTCATGCTAGCAGGAGAGACAGACAGCTGCCTGCACGCCCCCAAAGGAGGGACTGACTGTGGAGCACCCATCACGGACCAGGAGTGGAGCACTGTGCTTCTTACTCTTCACAGCGCACAGGACTCACTTGGTCCTCATGATCACTCTGCAAGGGCGTCACCTTCTCCTCCTTCTACGGAGGAGGGCACCCTGCCAGGATTTGAACCCACTAGTCCAAGTCTCAACCTGACAGAGTAGGGTTAGGCTATTGGTGGATGGGGGCGGGGGTTGACATCACCACATTAGAGGACTCAAGCACAGGGAGGTGGGCTGGGGGTGGGGGGAGCTGTCCCCAGGATCCCATCCGGCCTGGAGCAGCAGGATTCCTGTGGTGACCTTGTTATAAATATGACTGCCCGACTGCTCTCTACCTCAGCCTTAGCCTCCCGGTACCGCCCACTTCAGTTGGCTTTCTTGGCAGGAAATGCAGGTTTTCACCAGAACTGCAGCCACTTCTGCATGGCAGAGGAGCTGAGGGTCCCTAAATGACAAAGAAAATGGCTCCTTAACGGCTCTGGAGCTGCCCAGCAATCGAAGGTGTGTGCTGCTCCTCTCTGGGCCTCAGTTTCCTCACTGTATAGCAAAGGGGTAGCTAAGGTGTTACTGAAATCCCTTGTCACACTCTGACTCGGGCCATCTGTGTGTCTAGAGGAGTTTAACAATTTTCTGAGACCAAAGTTCAGACCAACACAGACCAGGGTGCTCCCTGCTCTCAAGTGGCCAGCTTCTCAGATTCTGACATCTGGCCTTTCCTTGGAGCTCACAGCTCTGAGAAGCAGGCAGGCACCTATAACTGCCCAGTGAGGTGACATGATTTGCCTGCCATGCCTGCTTCCACACAGGTCCCTGGCCTGGGCCTGTGCAGAGGGAGGTGTTCTGCTGGAGGCCTGACAGAGCAAAACAAGGTGCTTCATGGCTGTTTTTCTGAGGAAAACTGATCAAAGTCCAACCAAATCCCAGAGGACAACACTTCTAACAGCTTCACCTGGGAGCCTGCGTGGGGCCAGCTCTGGCTGCCTTTGCCTTGGTCTTTCCCCTGCCTAGAAGCCCCAGAAGAACAGGGTGGCAGGGCCCCTGACATCCCCTTACACACTGGGAGGCCCGCCCAGCCACCTGGCAGGAGGCCGTCTGCCTCAGGGGCCTCCTGGAGGCTGACTGCTCTGCTGTGGCTTTGGGCTGGGCACAGGCTTCATGAGTGTGCCCCTTGCCCTGTGCCTGGCACTGAGTCCCAAACCCAGGTCCCCAAGTCTGCTAATCCAAGGGGTAATCCAAGTCCTCACACCAGCCCACAGCTTGGATCATTCTGCCTCAGAGTCTCCAGGGAGGCCTCTGATGCTTCCAGCTGATGGTCAGGAGAGGAGGAAGAGGTTCTACATCCTGCCCTCGACTGAACTGCCCTTAGCCAGTGGGCAATAGTGACAGAGACAGCTCAAGCCCTTGGGAGGTCACTAGGTTCAGGAACTAGGCCAGCCCCGCAGATGGGCAGCTGGGAGAGCCGACTCTGAGCTCCAGTCACTCCACTCCAGTGCCCCTCTCCCCAGCCATCTATCTGGCATGGGTCTGGGAGCCCCCAAGGGCCAGAAAAGCAGCACCGTGCTAGCCTGACCATGAAACTCCAGCACCCACACTGCCCACCAACCAACAAGAATTCCATGACTGTGTCAGGCACAGCAAGGTGGGGATGCAAAAAAAGCGATGCCTGGAGTATGCTGGGAGACAGGATGGGCAACGGCATTCGTGAATGCCTTCTGTGAGCTGGGCCCCTTCTCCACAACAGCATCATTTCACCTCTGCTAGCAGCCCATTCCACAGGTGAGGAAACTGAGGCCCAGGGTACACACCAGTGAATGCTGGGGCTGCCTTGGTGCCAGGCCACACTCTAGAGGGGAGCTCTTCTCCACACTCCAGAGAGTTCTGCCCTGGCTCCTTCCTAAAACCTGCACACTGAGCAAGTGCCGCTCCCTCCCTAAGCCTCGGTTTCCCTATCTGTAAGCATGACTGCTCTCATGGTCCATGAGTCCCAGAGGTGATTGTTTATAAGCTGAGGCGTCACCATCCCCACTCTTGGAGGACTCCATTTACTGTCTCACTGAGGGAGGGGTCACTGCTGCACCTCTTCACAGACACGGCTCTGAGACAGTTGCCCAGCCACTCTACCCGACCCACGGAAAAAGGCAGAGTCTAGCTGGGGAAGGGCAGGGGCGCAGGGGGCGGGGGGAGCGACTTTCTCTTTCCCAGCTTTCAAAAGGTTTCTGGCTGGAAACTCTGGGAGGCTGAGGCAGGAGGCTCACTTGAGCCCAGGAGTTTAAGCCCAGCATGGGCGACAAAGCAAAACCTCATCTCTACAAAAAACGTTTAAAAATTAGCTGGGCATGATGGTGTACATCTGCAGTCCCAGCTACTCGGGAAGCCGAGACAGGAGTATTGCTTGAGCCCAAGAGTTTGAAGCTACTGGGAACTGTCATTGTGCTACAATGTGTCACCATTCCAGTCTGGGTGACAGAGTGAGACCTTGTCTCAAACAAAAAGAAAAACAAAAAAGAAAAGAAAAGGAAGTTTTTCAATTCAAGGATAGGTGGGACTTCCTATTCCCCTCCTCTCAGTTCCCAGCCAGGCCAAACTCGCCCCATTTCCCCGCTCAAAACCCATGTCCCCAGCCTAGCCCCAGTGCGTGTTACGGTACCCTATGACTGGGGATGAATCCACAGAGCCGCCCTCAGGCCTTGCCTGCCCCCAGCCATCCAGCTAAGGGACACCCAGGGCTTGAGCCAGGCCCCATCCCCTGCAGCTTCCTTGGTTGAACAGACTGGGTTATACCTCATCAGGCCTGCGCTCCTGGCCGTGTCTCCCAAATCCAGGGAGACAGACCGCCACCTCCGGGAAGCCCTCTCTGACCTCTCCTTCCTGGGGCACCTGAACTGCAGCCCCTCCTTTGTCCTTAACAGGCATCTGCGCTCCTGGTCAGTGCCCCCAAGTTGGTCTACACTCTGACTGGGAAGGGGTGGGGTGGGTCTCCATCTATCCCAAGGCTGCATATCTTCCTTGGGCTCAAGCAATCCTCCTGTCTCAGTTTCCCGAGTAGCTGGGACCACAGATGTACACCCTTGTGCCCAGCTAATTTTCAAAAGCTCTGTTGTAGAGATGAGGTCTTGCTTTGTTGCCCAGGCTGGGATTAAACTCCTGGGCTCAAGTGACCCTCCTGCCTCAATTACTTTTGCACCAACCTAATAAAAGGGAAGGGGGCAGAAAATAAAATACGTCCCAGTGCCTGGACATTGCCACCACCCCCCACCCCACAGGGAATCCTGAACCCAGCTGGTGGGCTGGTGGCTTCAGGCCCTAGGGCACGGAAGGGTGGTGGGCAAAAACCGGGGTCTCTTGTCTGATCCAGAGGGTAAGCCAGCCACTCTCAGCCTCCCTGTCCCCACTCAGCTCTCAGTCCCCGGGCGTCAGAGCTTGAGTATCCACTGACATTATCTTATCCAGTGAGACCCAACACTTCAGCCTTCCACAAACCAACACATTTTTTTTTTAACAGGGGAGCTGGGAATGACACAGGGTGACCACTGCTTCATTTTTGTTTCTGTTTGAGAAACAGTCTCACTCTGTCACTTAGGCTGGGGTACAGCAGTGGCACAGTCTCGGCTCACTGCAGCCTTGACCTCCCAGGCTCAAGCGATTCTCCCACCTCAACTTCCCAAGTAGCTGGCATTATAGGCACACACCACCGGATTTTGCCATGTTACCCAGGCTGGTCTCAAATTCCTGGGCTCAAGCAATCTGCCTGTCTGTCTCCCAGAGTGTTGGAATTACAGGCATGAGCCATTGCACCCGGCCTACCACTGCTTTATTTTGCCATGTACAGACTTATTTTCTAACTTATTTTTATTTCTTTCACCATGGACCAATGAAAACTTAGTTTTGAGACTGGCCTGTTGGGACCACTAATGGAGTCCAACAATCTGGTGCCCCAAAGACAGCATCCTGGGAGGCGTCGAGGGACTTGCCCAAGGACACACAGCAGTGGGTGGCAGACCTAGGGCCAGAACTTGAGAGCCCAGAACTCTACTCTAACCCATGCCGCATGGTCCACAAGGTTTCACAGTGAGACTGTCCTAAGGCTGCCACCACTGACTGGATATGTGGCCATCGATAAACTGCTAAATGTCTCCAAGACTCATTCACTGTATTTGCAAAAGGACTGATTCAATAATCAAGTGCTCCACTCACACACTGTCCATCTCTGAATTTTCTAGACACTCCAGCAAAATCAAGTGGGTGCAGAAGGAAGGAGCTGCCTTGTTTACAGGCTCCAGTGTTGGTCTTACCCTTCAGAGGCCAGGGATCTTTAGTGGGGTTGGGGGTCATGGCCCAGGGTCGCCGCCATGGAAGGTCTCAATAGGACTGTGGACAAGGCCCTTTGCAAACTGCAAAGCACTTTACAAATGTTAGGGGTTAGCCCCTAGCCTGGTACCTGCAGTGGAAGAGGTGCCCAGTGAGTGAAGGAATGGAAGAATGAAGCAATGCATGTCTGAATGTCTAGAATGAGCCCTGCTGTGGCTCCATTCTCTCACACACATATGTGCATTCAGATTTCATGCGGTGTGTCCAACACAAGCTGACATGCTCTCTGTGACACCA